CCAGCAGTAAGAACTCTAGTTCCATCACGTGTTAGCAGGTTATCTGCTTACTCCCTGAGGGGATTACATTATGTGATTAAGATACTGTCTGGTATATTTAGTCGGGTTCATGATAACTCCTGCGGCACCGATGATAAGAATCTGTGCATTGCTTGATTGCATTAGGATACTCAAACTTAATATCTTTGGAAGTGATCCAATCTTCAGAAAATAATTTTTAAAGCAAGTGAACTACAGCAGAAGTTGGAAAAGTATGGGAAGATTTGTGGAATGTATAGACCCAGTATCACATTTAGAGTGAAGTTGTAACTTGTACTCCACGTACAGAAGCTATTTATACAGCATCAAATTTGATGCTAACTATGAGAGAATTTGTTTCCTGTTTCGAATCAATTTGATGTGCATTCAGTCTGGTTTTGATGACGTACATGGGAATCCTATAGGTTGTTCACGTTTTGTAGTGTACTCAGACATTCTGATGACATATTATCGATTATTATTATTATTACTTGAAGATTTTGTACAAGGAGAAAATACCTTACGAGGAAGCTTACTGAAGATTGTGTATCCTGCATAAACGCATTTCTCAGAACAAAGCTACTATTATTTACATTTTCAAGACTAAGTATAAAAACACAATGATACCTTATTTGGCACGAGTTTTATGTGATGAAACAATGTATTAGGTACGAAATTACTAATTTATTGGGATATGATAAAATAAAGGGCTCTTTTTATTTTTATAATCGTCATATAGCCAGCTAAAACGAACTTTAACAAACAGGATGAAATGCGCTGTTGAAGCCCTACTCGGAATCCAAGGAAACAATAAAAATAATAATCATTAATGTTATTTAGAAAATGAAGTGATTTTTAATCCACCTTTTCCCTCAAGGCCACTGTTGCACATTGCAAAATATACCACATGTACTAAGATTTCTAGGACAATAATCAGCATTGAATTTCAGACTACAATTTTCTTTACAGTGATTCATCACATCATCTCAGTTGGATCTATTTGAGTGTATTAGACTACAGTTCTAAAGTTTATCCTATAACTCCGATTTCTCTTTCTCCATAAACATGAAAGCCAAAAAATTTTAACGTGAACTGCGAAACTTTGCAGTACTTGCCATAATATGTAGGATTCAGTGTTTTTGCAAAAGGCTGTTGTACTCGTAAGTATAATCCTAATTTTTGTTAACCATATTAAATTAACGCCACCTGAAACATGAAATAAAATTAGGATTTTAGAGAATTATAACGACAAAGTGCATACGTGATGAAATTAGAAGCAATTGCTAGATTCCTCAGTTGCAACTATTGATCATAATACATGAAACAATAAATATTCATGATTGATAAAAAAGCTCTTTGAACTTTTGTTTGAATTCATTTGTATAAAATTACTTGTATTCGATTAGCAGAAGAAGTTACACAAATTATCGCTTTGAGTTCATCTCTGTTATTACAGTCATCTAATGTTTAAGGATTGAATACGTGACTGATTTGTATCCTTCTGTCCATATCCATCCAGAATAATGCTCTGACGGCAATTTGAAGAGCTTCAAGCATACCTGATCCGAACTGAATGGCGTACAAACAAATCTTGTTATTTTCCTTCACTTCTTAATGCATCAAAAGTTACGAACAACCAATCCATGCAACATCAAAAACCAAAAAACCCAAGCTAAGTTTTATGAACGTGTATCATCACGACAGAACAATTCAAAAACATGCAGCCACATCAGACAAGACGTAGCCAACTAGTCTGTAGGAAATCCATTATGGTTAAAATTTTATTTTGATAAAATCACAGTGTTATGCAGTGATATTTATTGACGACGTTTCGAGCACAAATTATTGCTCATAATCATATTAAGTCATTCACGCAACTTACACACAACTCACAAGTTGTGTGAGTGCCTTGATACAATTTTGAGCAATAATTTGTGCTTGAAACGTCGTCAATAAATATTACTGCATAACACTGTGATTTATCAAAATAAAATTTTATCCATCATGGAGTTATACTCTGTCACAGTGCCCAAGTTTTATCCTTATATCGATAATACATATGGTTCTTAGGAAGACCAACTAAATAAATATGAAGTTACAGAATGAAAGTCATTTATTTCAGTAAATAATAAATTGGGTTATCATTAGCTAATGCTTAACGGGGCCTATGGTATTAGGAAATCAATTTTATTTGTTTGCAGAAGAAAGCGATTCTAAGCATCTCAAATTCAAATGCCTTTACCAAATCTTTTAACTGGCAGTTTTTCAGAATCTCTTGTTTAGTGTTACATATGAGCTTAGCATTTATAAATAAAACTGTCTTTGATGAACTGCTGGTACCTTCATGATGCTGCTTGACTTTAGATTTTTATTCTTCTTGTTCCATTGAACTTCAGTAATGATCACGATTACACGAAATTTTTTAAAGAAATGTCTTCCTCTTCAATATTTCTCGGTGGATAGCAATGTTATATGACAGAGCGAGAGAAATAATCGGTGTAAGAATAGAACCATTTGTGCATAAACAACAGCTTGGATATAAATAATTCGAACAAAGCAACAACTACAGTTTTAGCAGAATAAAATGGTACCATATTTTATTTCGTCGCCTTCTCTTCAGCTGCTCACAGGGCAAAAACATTATTAAATGTATCTACAAAAACAATTTAACATACTTGCACAGAGTTCATTTTAAACAGCTATGGGCAGTCCACTTAGCCCTGTTTTAGCAGATATATTCATGTTCAACCTTGAAAGAACAAAGTTGAAGCATGCAATCGACGAAACAACTTCCTACTGTCGTTACGTTGATGACACATTTATAGTGTGCAAAAATGAAAGTCATGCTTCACACTTACTAAGATTATTCAATGATGCACACGCCAATATCAAGTTCACTATGGAACATGAAAGTGACGGGAAGTTTCACTTCCTCGACATCGCCATAGAAAGCCTAGAAGACGGTAGTCTTCAAAAGTCAATTTGTCGTAAGTCCACATGGAAAGGACAATACTTACGTTTTAATGGCTTTTGTCCAAAAAGCCATAAACGAGCACTGGTCAAGACTCTGTACTATAGAGCGAGAAGAATATGCTCTACAGAGAAACTAGAGGAAGAATTTGAGTTTCTTGAAAAGACATTGAAGAGCAATGGGTACCCTCAAAGGTTCGTCAACAAGTATGGAAGATCTGAAGTCACAAATGAAAAACAAATAACAGTAAGAAAAAAGCCAATCTACTTTGAGCTTGATTATAAAGGTGAAAACATTGCAGCGATGATCAACAGAAGGCTGAGTACAACACTAGCCATAGCATATCCTGCAGCTAAGCTCGTTCCCGTCTATCGAACAACTTGCTCTCTGGTGCAACCAAAAATCGATAGATATCCTTCTCATGTTAACTCCAACTGTATATGCAAATTTACATGTATCTGCGGGAGCAGTTACATTGGAAGAACAGAAAGAAGAGCATACCTACGATTTTCTGAACATGTACCAAAAAGCTTACGTCTAAAGGGAACAAATGCTTTAAGCAGTGCCATCGCCAGACATCTTCCTGACACGGGTCATGAGGTGGACGTCGAAAAGTCATTCAAAATTATCAATAAGCAAAAGAGTTCAATGCTCCTTAAGTTTGCTGAAGCCTTTTTCATGAAGCGCCTAAAACCTGATTTGTGCGTTCAGAAAGAAGCGGTTATCAGTCTTTCTTTGCCCTGGTAACTGGATATTTTTCATCCTAATGCGAGATACTGGAAAGTTCTCATTTTGTATGATTATTATTGCTCGGAATTGTGTTCAGTATTACATATATATATATATATATATATATATATATATTATAATTAGTGTATGTGTATATTGATCGATTGATTTCGGTTTAAAATGAACTCTGTGCAAGTATGTTAAATTGTTTTTGTAGATACATTTAATAATGTTTTTGCCCTGTAGGCAGCTGAAGAGAAGGCGACGAAATAAAATATGGTACCATTTTATTCTGCTAAGACTGTAGTTGTTGCTTTGTTCAAATTCATTAAGGGGATCAGATGTATAAACAATTCACTGGCTATTGTAAAGTTTATTCGTAGAACCTTCTCCATCACTTTTTCGTGTAAGATGCGAAATGAATAAAACATAGCTCTACTTATATTCCCTTTCTCATCTACAGGTGAGTATTTCACTTACAGTCATTTGATTTAGTTTTGTTTTCTTTAGAGCACAAATTTCATCCACTGTATAAAATTATTTTAGATGTGAAATGCGCTGTGTGGGATGGAAGTTTTCAGCCTAGAGGTATAACAAGCATAGAATAGGTTTTCGTGTACAGAAGAGACAATGTTCAATTTCCGTTATTGCAAAGATCATAATTCTTTCATGGGAATTTCTGATCTCATCCTAATTAGCTGATTCCTTAGTACCACCTCACTTAAGTCTTTCGTTTCTCCTTTACCTTCACGTCTAACATGTAGTTTACAAATAAAAAAATTACACCTCATCTACTTTTGTGCTTTCCTTCCCACTGACCATTTGATTTTTTTCTATGTAAAAGCCACATCACGTATTCCTCACCTGTTATGCAGTAAAATACAATTATATACTTCGATTAAATTTCATTATGATTGCACAGATACGAAAAGTCTCCTACCATGAATTTTCTTTTTTCCCACTTTTATCTGAAATCAATATAATTTAACCAGGGTCTTCTACAAATAGTGGTCACGAGTCATTCATCCTGGGTAAATAAACTAGTTCACTCTCAACACAGCTTCATTCAACATATGCTATGACTGTGTAGGGGGTTATTATTCTTTTTATTGATTTTAAGCAGAGATTGTTTGTGCATACACAATCGTTTTTCAGCAGAAATTTCCAAAGCACGCATCAGAATGACTACGAATTAGGTACACATATTGGAAGGGTTAAATCTGTCTATCCCATTACTAAACAGAAATTTTGTCTTTTTATTCCTACCTTTCGGGATAGGAAAATCAGATGTGTTCCTACCCTAACAAACCAATCAAAAAGCAGACCAAGTAACCTAAGGTTGACAATCGGCAATGACTAGTCGAAGTTTTTTTTCAAGCAAAATAATAAAAAGTCAATATTTTTGTAGACATAACACACATCGGAAGGGTACAAAGAATTATGTAGGTGTTTTGGCTTCACTTCAACTCTTGCCTACATGTTATCCCAATAAAAGTGACTTGCAACTAACACAAACCATGTACATGAACAAAATAGTCATAAAACTGATGAATGTATTCAGACTGAATACAAACACTTAATAGCTTCCCTGACAAACTCAGATTACTGCAGTGAATGGTCCATGAAGAACTCATCGCCAAAAAATGCTTTAATACTTTGTTAATTGCCTAAACCTAAGTTTGTCTTTAAGCTGGATAAAGTTATTCAGTACAAACGTACCTTATAATTTTCATAAGAATATTCAGGATTTTCGTAACAACTAAATTCGTTACTTTATCTAGCACTTTACACTGACTTTACTTTAAATAAATGATGGCTGCTGTTCAACTTGATGATCGTGATCGAAATATGGTTATGGGAAGAAATTTATATAGATCATCGTCTCCTGGAACACTAAGACTAGAAGTAAGTTGATGCATGAAATTCAGAGATGACTAGTTTTGTACTTTTTTGACACTTTTGTAGACAATTGTAATACTAATATCAGCTGCTAAAATGCCTGTAAGATGCTTTGTTGAAAATAATTCTTACACGTTTAGTAATGCGAAGCTAAAGCATCAAGCTAATAGCATACGTAGTTTTAAAAAAGAAATTAATCTTTTACCTCACTATCGTTTCACAAAATTTGTTAATTCTTTGGCATTTACGGTTATAAATGTAAAATAAATTACTTTTCGTTCCTCACATTTGTATAAATGAAATAAACACCTCTAGGAATTACATAACTAACTAACATAACTAACCAAGATACACTGCCTGAGAGCGAAGCTGCTATGCATTTCATTTTAGCAATTCTTATAATTTCTGTATAACTTTTCAGTATAGACAGTGTAGAGCAGAGAATACCATAAATGGGTTATCTGCCTGACCCCTAACAGACTAAACTTCTATTGTCAGTGATCGTCAAAACAAGTGCAAAAAAGACAGAACTGTCAAAAGATGAACTGTTAAACAATCCAAAATTTGTAAATAATTGTATTTATTAATATCAGGTCAAATGCAGCTGATTTCATAAACTTTTACATATCAAATTTAAGTTAAAATTTACTAATAATCAAATGTTTAGTGAATGTAGATGGAAATAAGTAATTTCAAAATTAAAATGACAGCTCTTCAGTCTTGAGACTCTTTTTCTGCAAACAGACCCTACAGTCATAAATTTTCTTAATTACACAGTATGTTTATTGTCATTTAACTTAAACAGATTTTTCTATCTTTAAGTGGATTCAGTTGAACAAAGTGGTTAGTTTAGGACTGTGCTAACAGTAGATTCCAGTTAGTCTAAATTGGAGAAGTTTCTTTAGACACTGACTGCTTCTTCAAGTGACCGAACTATAAATATTTAGAGACGAAAACGAAGGAAATAAAAACCCTAGTAATTTAGAATAAATTTAACTGTGTTCAGTAGTTAATTTGTCTTTCATTCATCTAGAGAGTACAGGTCCCAATTCATTCCTGAATCAGTTGCTTTGTCACCCCTATTTCTTATCCTATTAGGTATGTCTGTCAGGTCAAGATTATCTCAGTACCTTCTTCTTAAAGTATAAATCCTAAAAGGAATCTGGAAAAACATTGATAATTAATTCAAACCTACAGTTGTTTTTTAAAGTGTGCTGTTTTAGCAAATAAGTGAAAATATTCTCTCACTAACATGAACATGTACAGTCCACTTTCTATAGTTGCATACCAGTTGACGATGAGTAGACAAATCACAGACTTCTGCAGCGATTAAGTATGTCTGAAAAGTTAACTGACTTTATTTTAAAGATGAAACTCTAAAAAAACATGTTGTGTCTATTTTTAAATGACAGACAGTGTGATCGGTATACAATCAATCAAAAACAAAATAGTCAACTTGATTCATTGATTCTGACATTTTTCTGTACAGTTATTCAGAATAAGGTGTAGGGTAAAGAAAGCAGATGAAAGATGCTTTTTCTTGCTCCTTATTACATTTATAATCTTTAATCCATATTTGTTTATGAAATCTGATTTATTTACTTAATTATCAACAAATGGGTTGTTATTCAAATACTGAAGTTTCAAGAAATGCAAATATTCTCAAACTTTATTGAATCGTTGAATCTGTTTTACTTTTCTTGATTGGGGTGCTCAACTGGTGAGACAAAATCTGCCTCTAACACGTTTACACACCAAATAGTAAAGTAACTGAAAGATATTACCAGAAATTATTTACTTATTTTAAAATGAATGGTAAAATGTATTCTTCTATCAAAAATGTCATTTCTCGATTTTAATATAAATAATCTTTGCATACAAAATAGTGGGGTATGTTCATTTGTACGGGGATATTTGGTGTTTTGAGATCAGCCCTATTACAGATATTACACTGTGAAATGTGTATTTGATTTAATTTTAACTGGTTGTTCTTAAACTTTTTTTTCCTGCACATTCCCAGTGGAACATAGGGCTTCAAGCTGGAGGCTTGAAGTTTCTGTAGCAGTGTTCATTTTACAGGATAGTGTTGCTAGCCTCATGCCCAACCTTTCCTCCGAACCAGTTTTATTAGTGGCTTAGCGAGGTAAAGGAGTGCGTCGGCCGGGTTGTCGAACCCCGGACCATGTGCATGGTCGGCGAGCGTCCTAACCGCTGTGCCACCGATGCACCTCTTAAACTTATAATAAGCTTTTATTTTGGTTTTTGCTGTATGCAAAACGATAGCTGATTTGTTCACCAGGATGTTTGCTTAATGAGACCTACCTATAATTTTAGTGAGCAGATTTACTGTCGATGGACCATAATTACAAAATCTGTATATAGCACTTTTGTTGTCAAAAAGTCAAAATCTCGACGAGACAAAAACACTACCAGGTTATGTAGATCAAACCAAATGCAACGGAAACTGTGTTGAGAATAATAAGCGAATAAAGGCTCTAGTAAATTCTCCTCTAAACTACTCGCTCTTCGCTTTTATATTTTCCAGTAAATATTTTTTGTATATAGTGTATGATGCCCATCTACTGATTCACTTTCAAGAGAAGTATGAGAGATGCAGACCGGTTATTCATTTTGTACATTATCTCCTTAACACAATTAATCAGGCAGACGTGATGCGAATCAGTGAATTTTTCCGTATTCAGCATAGATTAAGTTTCTGCTGATAATACTCGAGGATAGATGATAAACTTTATTAGTTGCTAACTCATCAAAACGAAAATTACTGCTTGAAGTATTAAATCAGTAATAAAATGGTCAAGAAAATAGTAAGGTTGATAAGATAAAACAGTATCAGATAGCTTCCTAGAGGATGTTAAAAACAGAAAGTCTAATTAAAAATTCGTTAATAAGGTATATAAGATAAATTAGAATTTTATTTTTATTTTATTTATTTTTCTACTTTTTAATGTTTAGACAAGGATAAAAGAACTGGAAGATCAACTGGATGATGAGAGGGCAGCACGAATAAAGGTAAGAATTTAATTATTTTATGCTCATTGAGATTAATCTTCCCGAAAAATTCAAACTTATTTCATAAAACGTTACAATAAGTAGATACGGGAAGATAAGGTTAATTTCATTAGCCTTAGCAGCTCGACTTCCAGTTAACGTGACCTAGGTTTGAATCCCGCTCCACCCATTTCACCCTTGGCAACTAGACAATATCATAAGACCTCACACAATAAGTAAAGCTTACTGCCAGGTGTTTGAGAAGTTTGTTTAGAGTTACTGCAACCTGAATGGACATACTGGATTGTCATATCATTTAACGAGAAGTAGACTTTTGTCAGTGCATAGAATACACTTTCACCATTCTGATAATTGCTTGATTCTTTAGTATTTAAAAAATCCTACTGAAATAATAACTGAAAATTTAAATCTTAAACTTAAAATGTACTGACACCAAATTCATTTGTTTATAATAAATGAACCACAATTTATTTTTTATATCTCTACAAATTCCTAAATCTCTGTGTATTAGGACAATGTCTATTAGAAATATAAACTTTTCAAAGTCAGGAATTATTACTTTAATATATTTAAACTAGATAAGACATTTCTGTGCACTGGACTTATGAAAAACACTTCATGATGTATTTCATAAACACAGAATCAGCAAAAAATTTTACAGTTTACAATTTTTTATATTATTATTATTATTTGGTATTTTGATATTCTTTTGGAAAATAAAACTTCACGTTTACATCTAAGGAATTTCTAGTAGAGTATAACTGGAAATACTCGACTAGTTTCAAATGTGACGATAGTCTCTGTAATGTTATGCTACTTTCAAATAATTTACTATCATCTGTTATTCAATAACCCTAAACATTGTTAATTAATGGAACTGAAACAATGAATAAGATTTTTCTAACTTTCCTGATACTAATTTAATCTTTATCAGTTTTGGATTCACAAAAGTTATTTCTTCTGTATATATTCTCTCCTTAAACATAAAGTTTTGAGATGTTGATTTATAAAACAGTAATTATCAAGTATTGTTTTGTAGGGATTTGATTGGTTACAAGATTGATCATGAGTTGACAACAGGCAGAGAAACACTGGAAAACCTGAAAGTACTGTTTCATCTTAGTTTGGGGCTCCTCAACAGGACCCAATGGGTGCGTACTGATAAGGAGCCCCAAAATAGGATGAAACAGCTGTCCAGTACTCTCAGGTTTTCCGGTGATTCTCTAACTGATGTCAACTCTTACTGAAACCTGGAAACAGTATTCTTAAATGAACCCATTCTGTGGCTAAATTGTAATAGAACCATGATATAGTTTAATCATGATTAAAATTCATTTAAGACTGAAGAAATGTTTGACGCAAATTAGGAATGAAATTCTGAACATCAAAAGCTGGTTATAAACTAAGCTTATCACAAAATGAAAAATTATTTCCGCAGTATTGTCAGTAATTGAGAATTTACTCGTATCCGTGAGGGAAGACAAGATTCAGTTTCTTATAAGTTGTTACTATGGCTTATTCTCACCATTGCAGTTATCGGATTGACACTTATTTGGGTGTTGCATATACGAATTCTTTGAAAAAAACTGCCCATTTCATCAGCAAGAGCTGTTATCAATTTATAGTAATAAAGACAGCATCACGCTAAACACCTCGCATCAAGAAATTTAATTGATCAGTCACAGACGCAGTGAGTGATCGTTGAAATTCGTAAAAATATCCTATAAGTAGTAAAAATGATGTAATTTTGTTCCTGCATATATTTCAGACTGAAAGGGAATTGGCTGAAGTGAATGCTGAATATGATATTTTGAATGCGGATTTCCAAAACGCCAGAGATCAAATAAGTCAACAAGTAAGTTTTTCAAAATTCTTAAACACAAACTGTTTTATCTATATGTTATTGTAGTGTTAAAATTATTACACTAACTATATTGTATTCATTTTAAAAGGAAGAAACAATCAAAAGACGAGAACAAGAATTTTCACGTGTTCGTCGGGAACTGGATGGAATACGTGATGTAAATGAAGAAAACTTGGAAAATTTGAGGCGTCGTCATCAGACCACAGTTAATGAACTAAACATTGAAATAAATACACTCCAGAAGGCAAAAACCAAGTAAGTAATCCTTTAAAATATGTTTTTTTGATTAACTTTAAGATTTTGGTGATGATTTTCCAAAAGAAGTTCCTTCTACATGTATTTGTGTTTACATCTGATAGCTATAAAACTGTCATGAAGCTGGATTAGTCAACTTCACTTTTTGAAGCTTTTGAAAGATCATATCTACTAACATGAGAAAATGGTTTAGAGGGAAAAGTTTGAGGTGAAATTCAAATCTCAGATGAATTTTCAACAGTAAATACTTACCTTTCTGAATTCTTAACTCTTTAAATTCTGCTTTCACCAACATCCCTATGAAAAGAATCAAGAGAATTATACTGTCTTGTACAATAAAAGTCAAGAAGCACCTAGCGATGAATTAATTTTGTATAGCCTTAATATGATATTTCATTATACTGACTGGATAGCTTTAGGTTGCATTGGTCTGCAGATAGAACACTAAGCGAACAGACCCCACTAAGAAAATCTTTCAATGTGAATTCATACATTTTACAAAGTAATTATGGACAAATCATCTTAGATGAGAAAAAACTGATAATGGTTTTAATTATTACCCACGTAGTTCACATTTAATGTAATTGAAATTAGCCATTTGAAAATTCTGTAGGTGGTCGTTGATGGAAAATGTCTGTTAATCGTCAGTCCAATATGAAGTTAACATTTCCAAATTCACTGGAGCTTTTATGTTACATTTGTCGCCTATTTAATTAACATAGGTACGTTACGCATCCCATTTTCCAGGTGTATAGAACGAATTATGATTGTACAACACATGGAAACGACTCAGCAGAACCTTTTAAGAAACTGCATCAAAAGCATATCAAATTACGAAAACCAAGCAACACAAGTTATTTTGTTATGCCTCACGTTATTTCCGAATTTGTGTATATTTAGATTTTCATGATTTATTGTAAATTTATTAAGAAAGTAGTGTTTTTCAAATTCCTTCAAAAAATATCTTGCATTTAAACAAAAGTACCTCTTTGAGTGTGAGTCGGTGGCACAGCGGTTAGGACGCTCGCCGACCATGCACATGGTCCGGGGTTCGACAACCCGGCCGACGCACTCCTTTACCTCGTTAAGCCAGAAATAATGTTGGTGAAGGGGAAAGGTTGGGCATGAGGCTAGCAACCGCATCCTGTAAAATAAACACTGCTACAGAAACTTCAAGCCATTAGCTTGAAACCCTATGTTCCACTGAGGACCGTGAAGGAAAAAAGACCCTTTGAGTTACTATGACTTGTTCATTCAAAATTCGTTTAGAATCTGTTTTAAGCAAAACATACTTTGTCATCTCCATTGTGTTCGCATTTCACATTTGTACTTTATTCTCATGCATCCATGAGACTAATGACTTTTAAATAGGACAGACAAATAAACTAGAATAAAGAATGTAGGGAATATCTTGTAATCTATTAAACATTCATCGAAAATTACTCAAAAACTAAAACAAAATGTATGAAAAATACAATCCCTAAGAGGAACTAAAGAAGGCATTTTGAATTCACAATTTTTCCAGTGTCGTGCTTAATAAATTTCAATTGGATGTGTTATCCCTAGGTCCCAAATTTAGTGATTATGCTCCTAAAGTTGACCAATTAGACACTGATATACAGTTTGAAAATTTGTATTCTCAAACATCATATCTTACCCCATCATCAGACGATGAACTAACTAGGTTCAAAACGACGCTAGTTGACAGCTGCCAACAATACAAGAATAATAAACATTCAGTAAATAAGCTGTTATCTAAACAACACAGAGAAGCTCTAAGAGAACTTAGAAGCAACGAAAGCTTAATTATTAGCAAGCCGGATAAAGGTGACGGTATAGTTTTACTGGACAAAAGAGATTATGTGGAGAAAATGGAAGGCATTTTGAATGATCAAACTAAATTCCAATCTCTTGGGGTTTCCAAAGACCTCAATGGAAGAGCGGAGAAACTAATGACCGACTCCCTCAAAAAACTGAACCAAATAGGAGTATTATCACCAACCACGTATGAGTCCATGAAGCCAACGGGTACTTATACTCCACGTCTTTACGGTCTACCAAAAGTTCACAAACCGGGTCTTCCTCTTCACCCTGTTTTAGATATGTATAACTCTCCATTTCATGGAACAGCGAAGTGGTTAGTGAAGATTTTGGGTCCTTTGCACAGAGAAATCGTGCAACATAGAATTAGTGATGTCTTTGACTTTATTTCTAAAATATCCGAGACTAATGTGAGGTATAAACGCATGTTATCCATGGATGTATCATCACTATTCACTAATGTACCGCTTATGGAAACAGTAGACTATATTTGTCAAGAAATCGCCGAAAGGCAATTAGACTTAGGAATCCCCTTGTGTAGCCTCAAAGAATTACTTCTTAAATGCACAATGAATGTTCACTTCGTCTTTAATAATGCATACTATCGACAAGTAGATGGAATAGCTATGGGTTCACCATTAGGCCCAATGTTAGCTGACTTCTTTCTCGCAAAACTTGAAAACGGGAAATTGAAGGACATCATCAAGCAGTTTGATATGTATTATCGATATGTCGATGATACATTTATCTTAGCTGACGAGAATGTTAATATAGACGAATTGTTGCTGAAATTCAACAACATCCACCCTTCGCTTACCTTTACTTGTGAAGAGGAGCAGGACAATAAACTACATTTCCTGGATGTCTTGCTAAATAAGAGAGAAGATGGGTCACTTGGGAGAAGCGTGTATAGAAAAAGCACTTTCACAGGGCAATATACACACTTCCTTAGTTACGTGCCCATTAAATATAAAAGGAATGTTGTAAAATGTCTTGCGAGCAGAGCAAGAAAGATATGTACAGATGACCTCTTACAAAAGGAATTTGAATATATTCACGAATCCTTGATGGAGATGGGCTATCCGAGTAATTTCATAAAGAAACATATGAAAACATCGGAGAAAAAACCGGAGACTCTGACGGCACGTAAGAAACCTCTATTTATTAAGTTACAATTTAATGGTGACTTATCAAGTGAGATTCTATTCCAACGACTTTCAAGGAGTATACGAAGAACATTTTACGCAGCACACCTATGTTTGTCATTCTCTAGCCGACGAATGATTGCGACGCAAACGAAGGATAAGCTTGATAGTTTTGCCACATCTATGTGTATTTATCAATTCAACTGCACCTGCGGTGACAGTTATATTGGGCGTACTACTAGACAGCTTAGCCAACGTGTTAGTGAGCATCTCCCATCGTGGTTTGGCAAAGGACAGACAAAAACAATCCGTAGCTCAATTTTGTCACACTTAATTGATAGTGGTCATGTAATTGAGAAAACGAGAGCTTTCAAAGTGATTCATCGTATCCCACCGAATCTTTCCAATAGACTTCGTATTCGTCTACTACACACAGCTGAGGCAATAGGCATTCGAACTATTAAACCTAAATTATGTATTCAAAAAAAGTTCGTACAGCCTTTATCCCTCCCTTGGCCTATTAAGACGTAACCAACTAATAACTTCTACACCACCCTTTGTTTGTATTTTCATCCCCTTTCTTATCATCCCTTAATCTTATCTTCATTATAAACGTGTTTCATTTCCTTCCCTTACAATCTAACATTACTTAATCGGTTCATTTGTTTTTACTAGCCTTTATCGACTACTTCCACCTGAACAGTTGTTTGTTTAATCATGCTGTTTTTCATTATTCGTGTTATCACAGATTGCCTCACTTTTTCATCCTTATTATTGATAAGACCATTTCTATTATTACTATAATTATTATTATCATTACTACTATTATGACTAATTGCACAATTTATATTCACCATCGTATTATCCTATAGACAAAACACCATGATTGGTTTATATTTGAATTTTATTTGTAAACTTATATATATTAGAGTTAAGCCTGATGAGATCTAATTGAAAACAATATTGTTCGCTTAAATGTGTTGTTCTAAATTTTGAATTGTAAAAGAATTTTTTTATTGTGAAAATCAAGTAAGCAGAAAAATGTGAATCTTACAACGGATCAAAAAGATAAGGAAATTTAAATTTGTATAAAATTAAGGTCAAATAGTTAAAACTACGATAACAGCTAAATCGTGATTGACAACTCTAAGAATTTCATATTAGAAAGATACTACAGTAGAAATTTTTCTAAAAAAGTATTTACCATATTTAATGAATTGTATGCAATAATTTCTTATCAAATAGTAATTATTCTAATATTTAGTTTATAAAATACTATGTAACAGCTTTAAAGTCAAGTATACAAATGAAATCTATCAATCTGGAATAAATAAATTCTACCTCATTCTAGAATTATAGTTCCTGATAAAATAAATAATTCAAAAAAGGTGCATCTGCAACCATACATATAGTAACAGCAAGGTCATTTTGTACACTGGAACAGAATAACTGTATTAAAGATTAATATAATTAGATGAAGAGTAGAAGTGGTCATTGAATTTCTCCTCACTGTACTTTATAAATTGTTATCTAATAAGTATAACAATAACTTTTTTGCTGCAGTTATAGTGAAAAATACGAATCAATAGAATTATTTAAAATTAGTGAGAATATTAAGTTATTTGCAAACGAACGAGATATTTGGGATCTGCGACCCATCGACCATCAGTTTTGGACGGTTTTGAGCTTACGTTTTAGTTAGCAAACTAATTATTTTGTCTGTATGTTATTTTGGGCAAGCGAATACTGTGGTGTGTGACATTCTAAAAGCACACTGGTGACGTTCCATACGTCAGAATCCAATGCCTCGTGATTACAAACCTGTATTAATTCGTTATATGACATCAGTGCCATCCAATTTCATCTAGAAGTAACCATCCTTCTAGTGTATCTGACTAATTTTAACAGTCATTATTCCCTTTTGAAAATTTGGAATATCTATATTTATTCGACGTCTGTAAGGAATGTATTAGTATTTCGTTGTTAGCTTTGTGTGATAGTTAACCAAATCTTCTGTTCTCAACAGGGGTTTACTTCAGTGTTTGCATTAAAATATCATTAATAAATAGGTAAAATAAGTGGAAAATTCATGCATACAGTAATACTAAATACTTTATGAGTAATAATGCATCCCAAGTTGGTTAATGAGTAGCGTGATTTTATCCCATTGTGTACTGCAAAATGACTTGCTATTTGTGATACTAAAAATTTATTCATATCGGAAAGTAAATTATAAATAAATCCCCTGATCTACACACACACACAAGTGAGTAGGCTAATTTTAACTGATTAATTAATTTCATTTTACAGCTTTATTTTATTATTCATTGTATAACTTATTCTTTTCCTCTTTAGAGCTGAAAAAGAGAGATCTGAAATGGCTAGACAACTTGAAAATGCCTTTGCTGAAGCTGAAGATGCTAATAAAGCAAAAGTAATTTATTTTGCCTTCTTTAATTTCAAACAGTGACTGGTTAATTACTTAGCTAGAGAGAAAAAACATACCTTCTTCTGTTAATTAAACATACAGTGACCGTATTCAGTGATATCACTGATACAGTGTTGTTTTCTTTTGAATTTCTCTAGTTAACAGTTTTCAGCCCATTACATCAGTTTTTTCTTGATTTCTTGGCTGAATCCTAAGAATCAGCTTGCTTGAAATGTAGTTCTACGGTTTTTGTTTAGATTCAATGCTCAGTTTGCTGTTATGCTACAGTTCATTGACATCTTGAAAGGATAATCTATTCCTCTGCACCATTCAGACAATATATTTTAAAATTAAACATTTGTGCGACACAGATGTGTTAGTAAATTTTTCTCTGAAAATAAGCATTAGATGGGGTACTAGTTATTTTACTGCGTCATACTTGCATTTTGACATATTTATTAGTTCATTAATTAAAAAATGAACGTTTTTGAATTACCTTGGTAGAATTTTCGTTTATTTCAAGGTAGATTTTGTCACAAAAATGTCGGTTCTTTACGGAAGTTTAATGTTTTAGAAGGAGAGATAAAGAAAAACAAAACAATCGGATTTGGAAAACTTACGAAATTTTAGTCTTTTGAAATGGAAGCATGTCATTCACTTTCTAGAATACATCTGTATACCGAGTACTTTTAACATTTTTTCTGCTGAATATTGAATACTTAAGGACATAAGCTAGAAACAACTGTTAATACCTTATCTTTCTTTCGATCTGGTCATTAATTCATAAACTTGTGAGGTTAAAGTGAGGTAACAGACAATGTTTAATAGATATAGTTAAAGGTCATCTTCAAAAACTACATGAACAGCTTCAAAAACCACTTATCGTAAATGTAGATATAATTATAACCTTAAAGAAGACAGTATGCGGACGAAATAATGCCATCTAATTGGTTATTTCATCTAAATTTCTGTCTACTCTACATCATTCACATATGTTCAAGTGTAGTTATAAAGTGTCGGACATTAAAGTCCTTTACATTCTGTTCTCAAACAGTGTACTATAACCTACATATACCCTTTTTATTTAATCTATGTAATCAACATTCTATAACCAGTGACTATTATAATCCTATAGTAAACTACAGTTTTCTGTACACATTTTGCCAGTGACAATGGATTTACAAATCGCTGTTATATTCTGACCTGTTCACTCTTAAACTTTCACCAAACTTATCTCATTGAATTTAGATGCTACTTCAAATTGAATAACAAACGTATTATTAACTCCAGCTGGTGAAGTTTCACAACTGTCATCAAACCTGACTTCCTTATCCAGCATCTAGAATCTAAACACAACATTATGCACTGTGTAGCTAAATCACAACAAAACACAATTAATGCTTTCAAGTCTATAGACTTAGTAAGTACTGGACCTCTAGTCAGTATATTTATTTTTTAGATACACAGGAGACTTCAATTTCACTTGCTGTCAAAATGTGCTAATTTTACCCAAAAGTAGAATAGATAAATTTTCCTGAAGTATAAGCTTGTCTACCGACTAACATAAATTTTTTTAACCTAAGTAACTTAAATGTGTATCGTCCGCTACCGATGAATATCACTTTTAATAGCTTCGAACTCATGAACTTTTGTCTTGTTTCTCCTGTCAAGCTCAAATTCCTACGTGAAGCAAATCATAAATATAGCTCTCTTGTACAGTATTGTACTTTGATCTCCCATTTGAATGTGTATAAAGCAGCTTTATTCAATTTTTTCTACAGATTACTGCTCAAAATAAGCAGGAAGCATTAGAATCTCAAGTCATTAGACTTAGAGCAAGTAATGAGGAGTCACAAAAGCGTGTCACAGAACTTAATGCACAAAATGCTCAACTTGTTGCTGATATTACTGAACATACGAGAAATACGGAGAAGCTAAACACAAGTCTTGCAGGTTTGCAGAGAGCGCAATCAATTGCTGAAACGAAAGCAGAGGATTACAAAAAAGCTTTGGAAGAAGAAACAAAGGTATTTTTATTTTATGATGTAGTCGTTCATGGGTCAAATGACAAAAATGAAAGATATGAGTGATTTATAATATAGGAACTTTGTATCTACACTATATAAACAAGTATTGTTTTACTTTATAAATATATAACACTTTAGGTATCTATATTCTTACTGAAGCAATTGAGGGACAACTATTAGGACTTAATTTATCTATTCTGGAGAAAGTGTCCTAAAATCAGTATTTGTCTATTATACATGGCGTTGCCCACATATGAGACAAAAACTGGAGAAAATATAGGTTATTTGCTATTTCCACAAATAAGAGGTTAGCAAACTTAATGAAACTCTACATTCACAAACCGACAAACACTGAAAAACCACTGAACAGTCAGGCATATTAAGTAATTATTAAGTCTCAGTTTCCAGTTCCCTGAAATCTCCTTTAATAAGGGTGAACCCCAGAACTGTAGCTACTAAAGCAAGTGATTTATTGTTCAGTGGGTAGTCTGCAACACACGCACACATTTCTGACATCCTGTTAATTAACAAAATAACTCAGATATTACGTTACATCATCGTCACTGGTATATGATAGAGTTAACTTTGAAAGAAATCAAAGCGTCATAAACCTTTTAAACGAATAACAATAATTACAGTTATTCTTAATTAGCAGAATTATTATAATCTAGAACTCAGAAAATTAAATGTGTTGGGAAGTTAAAGTAATAACATTTCATATAACTACACCAATGAAGCCTTTAAATCACATTTAAAGAGTGAACATATACCTTAATAATATTCAAACAAAAGAAGTGTTGAATAGGAGAATAGTGGGAAGGTCTGTGTCAAGCTGTCAATGACTTGTAACCCTAGTACTTTAATTTGTAAGGTAAAATAGAGAAATAAAAAGACGGTTATTATAAATCGACTTGTTACCTTGTTTTATTTATAGTATTCAACTAAAATATTTCATTCTATTTCTTCTCTTTTTCCACAGGCTAGAACGTTGATTCAAAATAAACTTAATACTGCACAACAAGAATTGGAGGTGCTGACTCATAGAGCTGATGAAGAAGCTGAAACTGTAGTTAAACTCCAAGGACAAGTCAGTAGATTAACAAGTGAATTATCACAAACTAAATCAAAATATGAAAAAGAAATAAATGAAAAAACTGAAGAATTCGACGAACTAAAGTAAGTAGGGTCAGATAAAAGTTTTAGAAATTGTCTACTATGATAATACAACTATAGTTAAGTGAAGAATTATGCTTATTAACTCCCATCATAGTTTCCACTCCCATCGTCCATTAGTTTTATTATGAAATATGTTCAGTTAAACATGAATCAAAGTATGTTTGAATACGTGAAAACATGAGATTCAACAGAAACCTCAAGACTAAGACTAAACGAACATATTTATTGAATTCCAAGACAGATTCCATTACGAGCTGTCATGAATCAGTAAACCAATGAAAAAAGCCAGAAAGTGCTGGACATATATCCCATTCTGGTTCTCGACTCCATGGTTTTCAGTGGTTATGGAACAGTTGTTAATTCATAATGAAAGCCATCTTGAAATCAGTCAAGTCCTTACAAACTGAAACTTCAAGATTTATTCTTTATGCACAATAATGGTTTGACTTATAGAATAAATGTTTCTTGGCAAATGTAGGGAGCATTCTCTGTTACATAGCTCTAATTTAACTGAGAAAATGTGTTTGTTTTTCTATCATGTTTGCAGTTTAGTTTTTAATCTGCAAGAAACAGTGAAGTATCTTATTTGATTTCATCTATTCGTGACCTATTTAAATTTTCTGTTAATTAGACGACGTTTAAACAATCGTATCAATGAGTTAACAGAATCTTATGAACTTGAACGTGGTAGAGTGGTTAGTCTAGAGCGTACAAAAAACCAACTAGCCAATCAGTGCCAAGAGATACAAACCCAGTTAGATAACGTAAGTTAAACATTCATATAAATGTTTCATCTATGAGGAATTTTTTGTATTTTAATAAAGAATGTTATGATTTGACTGTTGGATGATCAATCTGTTTGCTCTTATCTAAATACATAAGTAGTTTGCCGTGAAATTTTGTTTGTTTTGATGCACAATTGATAAGTATTCAAAAACTTCTGATTTTTAAAGCTACTGATTAATGGTGAACAGAAAAGTAAAATGATATTTTCATTGCTCTTATATCCTTAATTCATTTGGGTATGTTTGTATTTCGGAAGTAAGATACGAAATGTATAATTTTATGTCATCAGTCTTACAAGAATCAATTGTTTGAGATAAGTGACTTGACTGAAATAAAATTAACTCAATTAAGAGTATTGATAAAACTCTTCAGCAGTTAACTACTTACAGAATTACAGAATGTACACTTGAGAAAACATGCCATACAATTTAAGGGGATTAAAATCAACAGTTTTAAGATTTAACTGCCCCAAAATTAATTCCATAAATTGCATAAGAGTAATAAAAAAAACTCAGATGTCTGTTCATCCGTGTAGTATATAATTAGCAAAACTCAAATAATTAACTGATTGAAATTTTTCAAAAGAATGGATACTGAATAAAGAATACTCTTTCCGATAACTTCATAATCAGCCTCTACAGTTATATATACATTATAGTGAATGAATGAATTAGTGTTACGAACAACATTAATGTTTATATAACATCGAACCAATAATATCAATAGATTACAGCTCAATAGCATCAACACAAAATAAGCTGAATGTCAGAAAAATTAGGGAAGGTAATATTACAAATTCATAAATTTATAGTCTCCACTGAAGGCCAAGACAGTAGTAGGGGCTGTACTTGCTTCTTTTGAACACATAGCACTGATTGTTTGAGGCGAATTGCAACAGCCTCTGCTGTTTGGAGCATGCGGTACTTCGATGATTTTGGCAGTTTATTAGGCACTCGGTAGATTATAGAGAAGGATTCTTCTACGCTGGCTTTGTTGCTGGTTTGCACCAGATGGTCCCATTTTCAAGTGAAAAAAGAGATTACATAAATAGCACTTGACTAAAACTTAAAAATTTGAATATTTCAGTTGGCCTTAACTGTTCCTTTTGAAGGAGAGAAATAAACGGATCAACAAATAACCCGGAAAAAGAGTTCTAGAAGCCAACTATAAAATAAGTAGATAAGAATAAGGAGGAACACAAGCAGATGAGATATAAAATAAAATATGTTTGCGTCACACTTATCACTTGTCATTTCGAGGTGAGAATTTGCTACAGTTTCTCTCTTGTTATCACAGTATGCATTCTGTTTGATAACATAAACAGGAGTCAAGAAAGTAAGGAAAATAACCAGAGGTCAGATCATATCAATCAGTATTATAACTGTCTTGCTATATATGAATATTTTCTAGTGTTAATCCACAAATAAAATGCATTTGTAAACTAATCAGCATATTCTGGAAAGATTAGGCGGTAATTTAATCGTAGGTTTAAATACAAATGTTTGTGTGAGGATTTTATTTTTTGAAAACTAACAGGTGGCAAGATATACACAAGCAATTTTCAAGATCACCATAAATAGTATAAAAAAAGTAGAAAGATTACTAAGAAGACCGGAACAGATTCATTGACTGTGCGTGTAGAAAAGCCAAACAATTATAGCTATAGAATTCTGAAGTCCTAATGTGGTTGTGGAGATACAAAGATGGAACCACGTTTCTGAGTGGTCGATAAATCACAGGGAAATTTCAAATGCTTGAAGCGGTAATTGAAATCTAGCTTAATTCATTGAGAATAACTTATTATCCTTTGGTTATAAAATCAGTACCAATGATTATTTCTCAGTTATTCCATATAATTTCAGTCCACTGTTGCTAAAGGTAATAGTAGAACTCCAGACTAATTATATGAATTCTAAGCTGCATATAAAACAATGACGTATTTCAGCTATTGCCAGTCTTGGACGATTTCGTCTACAAAAATGTATGTGGTTATTATTATATACTTTTCTCTTATATAATTAAAATATAGTTAACCAAACCCTTAGTAACGTAGCTATTGAGAAACTATGAAACTGTATTATGTCATTATAAACCATTTATATAAAATCTGTGTGAAAAATGCTATTTATTAATAAAAAGCAATAGTGACAGTAATAAGAATAATAAACTAAAACAATAAAATGAAACCGAATTATGGTAAGGACGTTACTCTGGCCACGGTAAAGCGAGTAAGTGAATGTATTACTTTCAAACCCGGAGATCAGGTTTCCAGTCCCGAATAGTCAGTGATCTGATTAAGCATAATTGGCTTATCTGAAGTCCTTTCATGTGATATTAAGGAACTTTGTGTAGCACTATGAAGCAGTCATATAGAGGTGCCTGATGTCCATAGTTGACAACGTGTTGAAGTATATATAATTACTGGTGTGCTTTTTCTCCTCTGATTAGCCGGGCTGGACAGTGTTCTAAAATACGTTCGTGGATCTGACGCTACTTACGCTCGATATTCTTTGTTCCACAGGAAAAAGTAAACTGATAAATACACAGTGAGGTGGCCAAAAGGGATATCTTATTCTTAAAGCATAACTGGGTTAATTTCCACCTGGATAATGTGTTTCAAAAAATGGCTGTTTGATATGGAAAAGTGGTTTCTAAGAATTTCCGTTTCAATATCACCTATATGTTCATTAAGAGTGTTTTCTTGGGAACAGTTGTAGCCTTCAGAGACGGAGGTTTTTCTCGTCTTTTTGTCAATCAATCCAGATGGATATCTGTCATCATAAAAAGTAATCGTTTCTTTTTTCAAAACTAAGATGTTTCCTAACTTATTTACTACTGCTAGTGGTATTCCAACCACAGTTCATAATGTCATGATTTCTTGTGTAGCGTAATTGCTACTGTTTGTGTTCTACTTGATTTACTGGAATGAAATACCATATATCTTTTGTTGTAGTCTGAAATTTCATAATCTAAATATATGAAGAGTTTATTTTCTTTTTTTTCTAGATGTATGCTGAATGTGCTGAACAGCTTCAAACTATTAAAAGTTTAGAATCTCAGAAGACTGAACTTGAACAGGTATTAGAAGAGACTCAAGCAGAAGAAAGTAATTTAAGAACAAAATCCGGTTTATTGCAAAGAGATTTAATTCAAGTAAGAGCTGTTAAATCTGAGTTAGAAGAACGTGTTACAGTTCTTGAAAAAGAGAATAAGCAAAATGCAGGTAATACACTACACCTTATTCATACATATAAACTTATTAAAATTATATATTTTTTTGCAAATCTTTACATTCAATTCGATTATTAATTACTTTATCTTGAGGCTTATCTTCAGCTGCAGACAGACTAAAATATACATGAAGTGAGATTAGAACCTACATTTTTTATTCTGTTCAGCAGGAGTATGGCATAATATTCGTGGTTTTAGGAAGCATTCATTTTTAAGAGTCATAATGTTTGAGTCATCCACTAGTTATACACAAAATATATATTTATAGTTCACACAATTTTTTGTAATAAAAACCAGTTTTAGTGTTGTATTAGTACAAAGCATTATTTAAAAATGAGTGTTACATCTTCAAGTGTTGGTCTTGTAGAGATTTTGTTTGATTGGCTAGAGGATTTCATCATCAGCTGACATCAGTTAGAGAACCATTGAAGAACAAGCTGGGAGTACTGGACAGCTGTCTCCTCTGTCCTAGTTTGAGACTCTTCGGCAGTACGCATCAACCGACAGGGTTCGAACCCAGGACCTTCTGGCTACAAGGCGAGCTAGCTGGTAGACCATTAAGCCACTGGGACCCGCCGATCCAATGGCCAGCACATGAATTCTAACTTCTACCAATTCATTATATAGCGCGACCATTTCTCAATGTCTTCTTCGACGAGTTACTGCCTCACCTTCAACCCGCTGCACCCTACTGGTCATGGCTTCCCGCTAGTACGCCAGGTTAACTGCCTGAATAGGGCCAGTCGCTAGTGAGCATCAGATTAATTTTCAAGTACTGGTTTTTTTGTAGGGAATTTTGTTTGATTGGTTGGTTACATTTGATCTTATAAAATCGGAGGTAAAAATTAACACTTTAACTGCCTGTTGGTTCTTATTGTTAGTGGGAATATTTTTACTTGCATAAAATCCTTACGATAATTCTAAAATATCTGAGGCAGTCGAGCCCATTATAATGTTCTTAAAAATATCCATCACAAAACCCAACCTATAAATGCCTTATTTCTATGCAATATTGTATACATATTGTGGTGAGAGCTTTCTACTAGCCAAATTGGTAGACAGTAATTGACGTCATTGTTTACGTTCTCAAGATCTGTTGTGAGAAAATATGAACAAAGACTGATTCAAAACCGACCACAGCAGACTTTGCGTAGGTGGATACAGTTAACATATAGATGATCTCACATTCAAGAAACAGTCACAAAGAGATGAAAGATTAACTTTAAGTGAGAAACAACCAATCAGAAGACTGTGTTTGTTCGCTTAACTAATCTATAATAATGTACATGAAAATATATAAATATACTTTGATTTCCTTAATAAACGATCTGTTGCCTGGCCCTTGTCTTCTGTTGTTACAATATGAAGCTGTTCAAGTTCAGCGAGTGTAATAATTGCATCCAAATACACATATAGTGATCATATTTGCATCAGTCTGAATTTTCTACCGATGTAGCACAAAATCAATATATGTGAAAAAAGATAGGCAAACATAAAAACAGTTGGAGCCAAAATAAATTTTTAAGACTAATGATAATTTATACTTACAAAAAAGAGAAAATATGAAGTAAGCTGAATGGTACTATAAAATATCTAAATGTTACGAAATGTTTCAGGTAAAAATCAAAATACTGAGTTAAATGTTCAATAGAAATTTTATTCTAAATGGACAATGTTAATATGACCTTATTCTTCACAACTATTTTCAACCTTAATGCATTTCTACCTTTTTTCAGCCTAAAACTTATGCATTAGATAGCTTAGTGGAATAATCCTTCCTACAGGAATTCATGTTCAGTGAAAGATGGAGTAATAGGCAAAATAGCTCCACATTTTTGTTGTATGCATTCTCCTAACCAAAGACCTGGGAAAAAACTTCAGCAGCACAACTCATTTCAGTTGTTCACGTTATGAAATGCAAATAAAATGGACTCCTATGTGACACTTCTAGATTTATTGATATAAGGATAAAACTTGGGCACTGTGGTAGAGTATAATTCCAGTATAGATAAAATTTATTTTGATAAAGTTCCACAGTGTTATACAGTAATATTTACTGTATTTTTAATCATATATGTAAACAGTGTCACAGAGTTGTGTGAGTACCTTGATATGTTTATGAGCAATAAATTGTGCTTGGAAAGTCATCAGTAAATATTACTGTATAACACTGTGAGACCTTATCAAAGTAGATTTTATCCGTAGTGAGCTTTAAGATTTACTTTTCGAGAAAAAATTTCACATAGTTTCTAGGTTTTTAAATTCACACGAAGCATAATTTTGTTGCATTTATCTTGATAAATGGTATCTGATTGCAATTTATTCTTTGCTTAATACTTTTCCATGCAGTACAAGAGTACATTTTACAGCAGTTCGCTGAATTGCATAGTGAAAAAGACTTACAGTAGTTACAGTTTTCACCAATACTTAAATTGAGCAACTACAGAGTTACGAGAGTAAGATTAAATTTAATTAAATTGGAGTAGTGTTGCACCTTATTCTGTCGAAATTTTCTGTAGAGCGAAGAAAGATGAGAATTGAAGCTATAATTGGCTGAGATTTCAAAAATACGATTGCCTACCTAAATTCACTAAATGCATATATGAATGAATATCAATAGATAAAAAGTGGAAGTGTGAATTTTTTCAACTCAGTATGTAAAATCTAAGTTTCGTATAAACTGGATTTTACTAAAATGTGGTGATGCGCATTTCGAAAACACCTAACAAAAGCACTAGCCAAGAAATTCTAGATCACCAGTTGTTTCTCTGGCACTACATAATTTCAGCTTTTAGTATTTTCTTACAGAAGAACATAATTGGATTTTCAAATAATTATGAAATATCCAATTTATGTTCGACATTCGTCAAAGTGACGCTGAAAATCGTCTATTTCGTTAGCTGCAGATTCCTCAGCATAATATTAAAATATGGGAGGTCCTCTTCCATTTGTATTTCTTCTATACATTAGTTTGTAACATATGCATGCATAATCCTAGCCATTGCACTTTTAATCCTGTTTACCGCATAAAATTCCTTTCAACATGTCTCTAGTGTACTCCACTCCGATATTTTTTCTTACCTTATCTAAATAATTGAGTCTGCTACATCTTTTTTCTTTTTGTTATACAATTATTGTTTCTATTGTTATAAATCTGCACTTCAGACACGTGTCGTCGATAACCTTACAAAAGGCTGTGCCTTTTCCAACTTAATATACATTTCCTGTCCTTTAAGGAACACACATTCTTCATTATATGTCTGTTTAAAAGAAGAAATAGAGTATTACCCATCTGGACTTAAAATAATTAGTGAACATTAGTCGCATTATCTGTACCTTAAGCAATAACTGCTAATGTTAATGCAGGCAGTTATAATACCAAACATCTGTTTTCAATTAGTGCTATTCTTTCATAAAATGATGAATTATTTTGAATGTTACTGTATTTAAACTGACTATGTTACAATATTAAACTAGTATTTACTGCATTGACTATTCTTATGATATTATTCCTTCACGTTCCCAGTGGAACATAGGCTTCAAGCTAAGAGCTTGAAGTTTCTGTAGCAGCGTTTATTTTTACAGGATGGGGTTGCTAGCCTCATGCCCAACCTTTCCTCTTTACCAGCTTTTATTTCTGGATTAGTGAGGTGAAGGAATGCGTCGGCCGGGGATCGAACCCCGGACCATGTGCATGGTCGGCGAGCGTCCTAACTGCGGTGCCACCGACGCATTCTTATGATTTACAGTTTCAAAAAATTTACAGAAGTGCTACGTATAAAAAGTCTGAAAAGCACTGATACGTTGAATTAGCATCCCAAAAGCGTTTAAACTAATAGATGTTATTCTCAAGCGCTGGTTTGCAATGATTCGATTGTTTTCATCACTAATAAACTGCTCACTATTCAGTGACTATAGGATGGATTTACTGGAGTGTTAATGAGAAGTCCGGACGCGTGCATCATTTCGATTGTCAGGACAGATAATCGGAAATAACATTTATTAATGTTAGATCCATATACTAGAGAACTGACAGAAGTTAGAATTCATGGGCTATTCAATTTCCTTCCAGTTCCACCCTCTCGTTGCCTGAAGTCCCTATGTTGATTCCTGTTGGGTTATGATTGCGTGCTGTTGAAGTTTACCAAACTAAGCCAAAGCAGCTCTCTGGTGTTCCTGAGTTTTCAGTAGTTATCTAATTCTTGACGATTCGTGATGGAATCTACCTGGGAATAATTGTCAATTTTGGCTAGACATTTTGATTATAAACTTATAGGAAATGGGATTCATTTACAAACTTTGGTCAGGATGTTACTTACTTGACTGTATTGTTTCATTGTGAGTCGACAACAACGATGCGCGATTCTATTAAGTTCATTTTTTAGTGTTATGTAAAGCCCCTGACTGTATTCACTTTGTTATTTCAGATAAATTGAAAGAAACAAAAGAGCGTTTATCAGTTGTTAGTAGACAGATTACCGATTTAGAAAGCTCTCGAGCAAGATTAGAATCAGAAAGAGATAATCTTGACAGTACACTGAAAGACACAGAAGATGCATTACATGAATGTGAAGTAAGCCTCAAATATATGCATTATAATATTTTAACCAATATTTGAAAGATAAATGGGTAATAATTCAATTATTTCACTGTAACATCTATTTTTTGTTAAAATTTCCTGAACTTAAGTTACTACAGCTCGAAATACGAATTACTTCTTTGTTTTGGAGAGACGCGAACTCACTGGGTTTCATTATGAGTTATGTGGGACAAAGATACTCCAACAAATAATATACCTTAGAAATAATATGGGAAATTACCACGTTTTTGCATGAATAACAACAGATCGAATAAGATTCATTTCTTAATGTGTTTACCTCCATCAATGTGTGTTAGTTTGTTTTCGTATAAACTAACGGAAATCTCACTTTAAATAAAATAAATCAATGGTGTTAAATTTCTATTGATTGTTTCTGTTGGTGAATAGATATATAGGTAATAAGGACAACAAGGTTATTGATACTATGATGAACAGGCTGTTATTTTGTATTTTCTAAAGTTTGCCCATAGAAGTAAATATATGTTTATTTGTTTTGGTTTTCTGAAGCTTCCCGTGTACTTGAAAGCTTTAAGGCTTATTTAGGAAGAAAACAACAGCTGAGAAACGCAATTTCGATGCTGTATTATTTCAGTAGTTATTTCTCCTGAACTGTTTACAAACTATAGATTTTAAATGTCAGTCGCAAAAATACTTTAGTATACTTAGCTGAGTAAAAAGATATCAATTTTTATCGGATGAGAGAAAAAATTTGTAGAACCACTGAAGCTTCAGATGATTCATCCTTTTTGATAAATTTTTTAAAGTTTACAGCTAATGTTTAGAAGAAAATGACTACGAATAATTAGATTCTGAAGAAACAATAAAATAGTGGTTGTATTTTACTGTGATTTTCTACTCTTATTATTTCCCATTATCCCATTTACCTAAATACATCCTTGAACAGCCTTAGGTGCAGCATTCTGCCTTTATTAATCTGGATGTTATTAGGGGTATGCTAATATTGGGGAGGCTAAAGAGTCAGTAGGGTGGGACCCAGGCCTCTCTTTTGACAACATGTTGTCTACTGTAATCAGAAGTTCAAAAGTATCTCAGTGGTATGAATATTTTGAGTACTGCAGTCGCACAGCATTTTGATAACGCCAGAAATTTAAAAAATCTTTGAATCCTGTAAGGTGATCAACAGTCAGGTAATTCCTTCACCTTTTTGAAGTTACAACTATAAGTTTCAAAGCACGATCGGTCGCCATCATAAGTCATTTGTCAGATTTTATTACCACGCAATTAAAATATTTGAGAAATAAGGTTAGATCAAAGGACAGAATGTGTAAAATAATGTGTAAATCGCTAACACAACTGTTTTGTTCAATGGACTTCGAAGAAATTTTCCTTCTTCTTTGATAATATTTGCTAGTGCTTCTTTTCTAATTATTGAATTGTTTGGTAAGTTTCGGTGAAGATTACTTCACTATGCATGTGAAACCTTTGTTTGCCTTTCAGACTCGATACCAAGCATCCTGTTCTGCTCTGAGTACCCTGAGAAGTGAATTTGAACGTCAATCACGAGACAAAGAAGAAGAATTAGAAAGCTTCAGGTAAAGTTTACAATAGTTTACTAGCGTAATATTGGTACAAATGTTAAAGTATACAAAAATCTTGTTAACATAATCTAAATTATTCAGTAAATTTTAGGCACATAGCTCAGATAACAAAAGTCAGTATCCGACAAAAGACATTTGTGTATATTTGTTTATTCTCAAAGTTTGCTGACTTTAAACACCCTTTCTGTCTATTTTCTTTAAGACGTTCAAGTCAGCGTAATATTGAGAATCTCAAAGCAGCAATTGCTGACATGGAAATCAAAAATCAAAATGAGGTAGATCGAATCAAAAAGAAATTTGAAGGAATGATAAGTGGTTTGCAAACTCAGTTAGAAGAGGAGAAAAACGCTCATTTGGAAACAACTAAAGCTCATGAAGAAGCAGAAACACATATATGTCAGTTAGAAATGGAAATTACTGAATTGAATAATTTAGTTTCTGAAACTGCTACCACTTTACAGGTAGGTCGGTGAACATTTTAGTCTTTATATGCTTCAGTCCGTAGCAGTAATACTTCATGTGTTTAAAATTGTCAGCATTTTTATACAATAACAGATATTGATTCGCTTAACAGTTTTTGTGATCAAAATCATTTATTAACAGTACAGTAACTTATCAGTTTGTATAAAGATACATTACATCTTAATTCCAAGTTTCAATAAAATATGAATTCAAAGAATCTGATAAAAATGTAAAAGGAATACGAAATTCTTAGGAGGAGAATGATTGCCATATGCTTCACTTGTTAAAAAAGTCATGACTACGTTAAGGTAATAAAATAAGTAGGTTAGAGGCACAACATCCATTTCTGTTATCACGTCCACTTGCACTTTTTCATAACTAAAGGAACTGGAATCACTGCTTGTTTACTCAATTTAATACACTTTGCACTGTCACCCAGGGGACAACCAAGGAAAGATAATGAAACAGGTTTGCTAAACTTTGAAAGACATAGTTACACTTATACAGAGAACAAACCAGAAAAAATACAGTAATAAACTGATAAGATATTTTATTTTCATCACAATGTGGTGTCTTTAATCTATTACTTCTACTGGAAAGCATAATTTACCAAATTGGTCTCTTGAAAAAAATAATTCAAGCTATCAAAATGTTAAAGATTATTATGGTGAAAGCTAGAACTGATACTTTTTTCATCCAGCTTTCTTAAAGTCATATTAAAATAGGCGAATCTATATTTAAATATTAAATATAAACTTAACTTTGCAATTTGTCAGCTGGTTGACAACAAGTTTGCGAATTGTGCAACTAAATAAGATCACGGTAATATTTATAATTTATATGGATATGTCAAGATAAGAATAAGAAAAGTAACTTGGTTGTACAAACTAGTATTCAGAAAGGCAATAGATAGAAGTTTAGCAAACAAATCATAAGATTGTGTAATACTGAAGTGCGTGGACAGTTAACATAAACATACGTTCAAGTAAAGATGTCATAGAAATATGAAAAGGTGGGGGGAGGATTCCTTTTTCAAAAACGAAAAAGAACAAATAGGGAAATGTATTTAGGTAAGATATCTTTTTATACAAGGAAAAATAGTAAGTGAACAAACATTTTCGAATATACAGTGAAGGTAAATTTGTTTGATCTATGTAATCATTGTCAGAGTCATAGCATTCTGTTTGGTAGAGTTTCTGAACCTACAGAGTCCTAATAAAGATTCTACCTTAAACTTCTGACGTTCCTTCTTTTGAATTCCCTCTTAGCTGAGTTCATATCAATGCTGAAATTTTCACTTTCACTATTATGACTTATCTCCTCAAAATTTTAGTGTAGGTACTGAGAAGCAATATTTTCTTTGTGTTTTATTGTTTCAGACTGGTAATCAGACATGTAGGTTGACCACCTAAAAGTTTAAATTTACCTTCTTTCAGTGATATCACACGAGACAATTTACCTTCTAAATACTTATTAAGACTGTGTGATTTTCTGTAGATATTTAAGTACACAACTCAATGTTTTTCCACCTTTATATTGTATTTCAGTAAGTCTGTTTATCTAGTTAATTTCCTTATTTGAGAGTGAACTGGACCCCATCTACTGCATAGTTTACATATGTGAAGTTGCTGTGAATACGTTGTGATTTGATAATAAAATATGTATGGTATACAAAATTTAGAAGTAAAGTAAGGTATTTTAAGTAACACAAGTTCCAAATTGTGTAAGTTTGGATCAGAAGAAACACGTTTACATTAGACATTTAGATGGGAACGATTTATTCTCGAGGCTAAAAATAGCTGTTAGTTCCTGAAGGTAAAAGGGACGAGAATAACCATAAGACAAATAAAAATGATGAAACCCTCTAAGATGTCAGTAGTTTAACAAACTACTTTGTTTATAATGAGTAATAATTAGAAGTAGAGTGAAAGTTTGGGTTGATAACAAGATTTGTAACAGCAGTCTCCGAATTGTTAGTCTGTCACACTACCAGATGAGTTATCAGACCTAGGTGCTAATCACCTTATCATTTCACTTCGATAATCATAGGTAATACCCAGATGTAGCACTTCAATGTACTAATTTCTTGCTTCTTTAGTTTATGTGGATGTATTATGCAGTTTTTATACTGACATTAAATTATTTTTGATCTTATCTTATTTAATCTTGATATAAATACGGATATACTTCCTTACAGATATGTGAAAATCGTCGATCTGCTCTATCAAATGAAGTAGACAGTTTAAGAAGTCAACTGGAAATCACAGAACGATTGAAAAGAAAACTGGAAGAAGAATCTTCAGAAAATATGTCGAAGTTCGGTGGTTTAACCATACAAATAAATAATTTGACCGCTGAAAGACGAAAGCTTGAAGGTCAGATAGCTATACTTCAGGGTGATCTTGATGATGTAACAGGTGCTAAGGATGTGAGTTTCCCTTCAATTACATTAGACTGTTAAATATACACCCATGATGAATCAAAAATCATTATAAGGGGATAATATTCCTCCCCATGGATTTTTTTAGATTTTTGCAACAACAAAGTTAGATTTTTAATAACAATAGTGAAATACACGGTAAACACATTTTATGTAGACTACAGTGGCAAGTGTAAAATTAGGTTATCACCACCATTCGAAATATTCGAATGCTTTGTACTTATATGTTAAGTCTGATTGTTACATAGGCCGTACAATTAGGCGTGTTTCTCGTCGAATTTCAGAACACCACCCTGCGTGGTTAAGCAAACGACAAACAAAATCTATTCGTAGCGTAATTCTGTCTCATCTTGTGGATACAGAACACAAGATTGACGTTAACCATGCTCTCAGGGTAATTTACCGCATACCTACGAATCTAAATTTTGCCTTAAGAGTTCGACTACTAAATATTGCTGAAGCTGTCAAGATCCACGTTAACAAGCCTAATTTGTGCATCCAAAAGAAGTTAGTTCAGACATTATCCTTACCTTGGCCATCTAGGTTTGAATGATCCTGAATTTCTGTGGAATTTTCCTAATTTTAGTTGATATTCTATTTGCTACTATATCTTGATTATTATAATTATAATTTAAGCATCTTTAATGAACTGTAATTGCATTGATCATACTTTACAAGTCGATATTATTTAAAAAACACTAATATTGTTATTGACTACTTATTTAGAATATTCTATGTATATAAACATATATATAATTGTAGAGCCGGAAGAGGAATTTATCGAAAAGAATATTCTTTGCTCGATTATTTTGTGTTTTATAAATTTGATTGTATTGAGATGAGTAATAATCAGTGCTTGATCACTCAGTGCAACAGGAAGAAGGAAAATTACTAATTCAGTTAAGGCTATGTTTTACATTGAATGGTGAGCAGCCAGCACAAAATGGCATCCTTTTAAACAGCAGATATTAGGAAAAAAGTTAATCTTTCGCTATAATATAGTCAATATTTAAGGCTCCTAAGATAGCACCATACAAACAGTAACAAAAATATTAAACAATCATAAGCAGTTTACATCCATCTAAATATGTGGAGAAACCGACAAAACATTTTAAGTTGTTACAGCATAAAATGTTATGATTAATGTTGCCTAAACTAGAAAGCACAGAAGAAACGGGTGAGGGCGTGGGGGAGGAATGAACAAGAACTGAAACTTATGAATGGGATTTACTGCACACATTAAGAAATATGATTCTATGACAGACTTTTCGGCTAAACACTGATTTTTTCTTCACAGAACTAAAAATATATTGTATGATATAGTGAATAGCTTTCCTTTAGTAAAAATGTTAAAGGAATCGGTAGATGCTGTTTTTAAACCATAAATATTATGATGTAACTGTTTTCTTGCTTAGTAGAATTGTATTTAGGCAAATGTGCTTTGATTTAAAAGCTTATATAGATGAAGAAAGTTTAGTCTATATTATTATGAATAAACTTACAGGCATTCATTCTAACACGAAGTAAGATCTCTTCGAAAGTTACTCGGTTGCTGCGTGATGTTATTGTTTATCAATGAGACAGAATAATTACAAAACAATCACTGTTTTATTTTGGTATAGAAATAAGAAACATTTTCGTGCAAATAGTTATCACCTACACATTCCCAGGCAGTTTGTGTACATTTTCGAAACAAACTAACTAATTTATGGAAATCTATCATAAGAATACTTTGGTTGCTCTGAAATTAAGAATATTTAGAGCTTTATGTAGTACTTTAGCGAGTATTAAGAATGTACACATCCCAACTACCATTCAGTGGTGGTAATCTTCAGCTTAAAACACTTTTCAAGTGTTTGTTTATAGGGATTAAGTTAGTTACAGGTTTGATCACGAGCTGACTTCGGTTAAGGAACCATTGGAAGACCAAGCTATTCTGGAGAGCTGTTTTGTCTTAGTTTGGGACTCATCAGCAGTGCACCGAAAGCCCCTGATTTCGAATCTAGGTGGGTATGTACTGATGAAGAGTCGCAAACTAGGACGAAACAAGTGTCCAGTATTTCCTGGTTTTCTAACGGTTAACTGACAGTAACAGCTTTTACCATTTTTTAAAGCATCATTTAAAACCATGACTTAGTAATCCAGATTCTTAAGCCGCAAACAAATCTTGAAGTATTCCATATTCTTCATTGATACACAAGATTTCTAATTCTTAGATGATATTTCTTTAAACTACGTTCTTTAAAAAAGAATATTATTTCCAAAATAAAAGGTAGCTGCATTTCAGCTGCTCACCACTGCAAGGTGTTTAGACAGTAAACTAATTTCACTTTTGTATTGATTTAAACCTTGAATATCTCAAATTGTTCACTGTAGACAGTCAATTCATTTTTAACACTGGTGAGTATTTACTGTAAAGTAGGCATTATTTTCCACTTCAAGGTGTTTTATTTTAAAACTAATTGTAGATATTCACCTACAATGAGTGCTCAGAAATAGGCCAGAAACTTAACATGTCAAATTTATAAGCTTTTTATTTTTATTTTCTTATAAAAAACTTTATTTATAACATAAACCCAGATTTATCTCATATTTCTTTATAGGTGGCAATAGAGAGAGCAGATCGACTTCAGAATGAAGTTACTCGTTTAGCTCAAGAACTTCAAACTGAACAGGAATCCTCTCGTAGAGCAGATACAGCAAGAAGACACTTGGAAGCAGAATTGAAAGAGTGTAATGCAAAAATTTTAGAAAGTCGAAGAGCCGCCGATACAGCAGAACGTGAAGCAGATGATGCTAAAAATCAAGCTGAGATTAAAGTTAGAGAGTTACAATTGGCACTGGAAGAAGAGTCGAAAAAATCAAGGGAGGCACAAAGTCAGTTGAGGTAAGGACTTATATTTAACTATTTAGATGGCTGCATTCATTTAAACTGTTCAGTTAAGTTTACTGCTTCTTTACTTTCTATCAGTTGAATGCTTTTGTACTATGTCTGTTAAACTAATTAGTTTAAGAATTAAGCAAATATGTTTTTGAATTGGATGAATTGATTCTGTTTAGATACCTCTTTGTCAATCTGTCAAAACTTATAAAAACACCAGACTTCTCTAAATATATAATATATATATATATATATCAGTTGTAAAAGAAACAGACGGATGAATTGACATTCTCACTGAAAGAATTAAGATTATCTATTAATGTCTGAGTGCAATAACATGTGTTTTTTAACCTCTAATATCAAAAACTATGTAAAAAAGTCTAGAAGCAGAACACTTCCATAAAGATTTAGAAATTTTTTTTTGAGATTATACCATACACTGAAGAATAGTATAGTATTTCAAGTGAATTATAAAAAAGAGGAGAAGAAAGACAGTTACAGATAATTTTAAGATAATTTTCTTTCATATGAACTTATTCTTAAAACTTTACAGTAGGTAAACTATGAATCAAAAAACAGAATGCTGAAAACAAAAATCTATCTGAAAGAAGAATACTCTTTTTGACACATTATCTTTAGCATCTTACAATTATAAAATAAAATATTTAAAAATAAATATTAATGGTCTGTGAGGTCTCCTTGTCCTAGGTTAGAATCTCAGTGAGTGAGTACTGATGAAGAGTCCCAAATTAGGACGAAACAGCTGTCCAGTACTCCTTGAAGGTTTTCCAATGGTCCTATAACCGATTTCAGTTCATGATGAAATCCTGAAACCGATCAAATCCCTGCAAACCAACACTTGTATATAGTTACCAATTATGATGATAACCAGATATGTAGTAGAAACATTTTAATACAGAATGTTATTATGGATTTCAAATCAGATTAGCTTCAAATGCTAGAATGACAAAATAAATACAGTTTGTATGACAAACATGGTCAGTGAAAAGTAATTATAAATTAGAATGAATTTGATGGTGAGTCATAATAGATTTATATAATGTAGGGAGGAAACATTGATAGGTCAGTTCACGGTTTTAGGATGTTTGTTACATGGCTATTACAAAGATAATATGCAATAAACAACAGACATGAGAACTGCAATTAATGTCTCATTGTATAATAGTCAGTGTGTGAAATGAATGAAGCGGAAAGGGATAATGAAAAAAGGTTATAATGTTACAAATGACGAATCAGAATAGCTTTTTGGTGACTTTTTGTGTAGAAAATGCAATAGTATCTGAATGATGCTAGAAGGGATTGTGACTAAAAGTGTCAAGACAGAAAATAGCAAAACAAAAAGAGGAAAAGAAACCTCTTGAGCGAAGTAAGATAGACTTAACATCTTCTTTTCTGAATCAGGATGGCAAATATTTTTGAACTAGTAGAAAAACCTTTCTAATCGTATCCCCAATATAACTTGATTCATAGTAACAGTTTAAAAAAGTTATAAATTAATATGGAATGAATAATGTAGATGGATTACTATTAAGATTCCGTGGTAAGGAAGTTAATTAAACACACAAATGCCTAGGGGAGCAAAGTAGCACTTCACTGGACCTACATAATTCCTTGGGAAGTGGATATATATATATATATTACTGTTTGCAATTGTCCGTAGAAGCCCTCCTCTTTATCTGCGTTGTTTGCAGGAGCGTAGCATTGGATGACCGTAACTTCCCTTCATTTTGATATGAATCTTAATTATTGTGGAGGAGATTGGTTCTCATTACATGAGAGCCTCTGATGATATAGGTGATATCATGACAGTCACAATCTCATTGTGCTCGTAATTGCCTTCTGGGTGACCAAAATATATTATTGACTCTCCGGTTATTAGTTTCAGGTGTCCAGTTCCATTCCATAGGCTCACACAGATTCTTAACACTGCTATACCTTAGCTTCTCATTTCCTCTGTAGTCTGAGCAGTTTGTCTAGCCTCGTGCAGAAACCCCACTTTCCCACGTTTACTTTTACTGCTATCAAATGAAGACACATGGGTATACTAGCTTCTCAAAGGCTTTCACTAGCCCTTTCCTATCTCATCGAAGAATAAATTTATTGTGGATTTTTCTCTGTGCTCTAAAGTTTCAGTAGTAATCGGATTGCTTTTTATAAAGTGGGGTTTCTAGACTAACACCCAACCCCTCACTTTTTATCCTGGCTCACGAACAGCTAGTAAACTAGGCGACGTTGCAGGTGACTCTGATGTCTTAAGTTTAGATTTATCAGGACAATAAGTAATGGTCTCTTTCTGGATGCGCAGATTAGGTTTCATTTGTTTAATGACTACGAGTTTATCGAAAAAAAGGTGCAGAATTCTTGTATGCGCAAACACCTCTAATTTTCTATTCAGACATTTGAATTAATGATATCTTTCTGGTATCAGGAGAAACCTGAAACACTATACAATATTCTATCATCGGGTGTAAGAGAATGAATTCATTACTGTTGATGTTAACTGATTAATATATTATTTTCTTGTGTTAAATCATTACAGATCCTCTTGTATTTTCAAAACAACTGGATTCAGTTTTGTAATACCAAAGTTATTAATTATTTTATTCAATAAAATCATTTTTATGATGATTCAGCAATTTTCGTTCAACAGGAAATATCTTCTGATTATTTAAGCTAAAAAATAATACGAAACGTAAAACCATATAGTTGTCAACATGCAGCTTTTTCATTTTACATGTGCATATACTACAATTTGTTGTTGTTGTTCTTCTTCATATTATTTTTACTATTATGACTCACTGCTACTTGTTTTTAAAGAAAATGTGAACGATCGCTTAAAGAATCAATGCAAGCTGAACAAGATGCTGGACACATGGTTAATGAATTACGTGAAATGGTTGAACGGGCTCAGACAAAATTGAAGCAGACTAGAAGACAGTTAGAAGAAGCGGTATGTCATTAAAATTTAAATTTAAAAGTTATCTATGCATATATATCATTAATTAGCAAGAACAGAATATTGTAAAAGAGTTCTTTTTAGAACGTATTATTCATGCTAATTGAAATCAACCTAAAATTAATTGCTAAGACTCTTAAAGTTCATTTGATTACAGTGACGTAATGTCTCAATGCAGTATTTGTCGAACAGTTGAATTTTCCAGAGTATTCAGTTAACAAGAAAAAAAAAGAATCTTTGTATACATCATGTACAGACAATGCATCATTCTTAATAAGTTCTTAGACATTTTAAATAGGAAAATGTGAAACTAACATTTTTTCATCAGTTAAGAAAGTAAAATATCAAAAAGGCAAAATAAAAGTGAACTTTAGTTTAAATGAAGTAAATACCACTGTAAGACGAATCATTCAAAAGCTCAGAAAGTCAAATAACTGTGTACATTTACAATTTTAGTTGACGTAAAACTTGGTAAAGAATCCTAGACAAATCAGGATATTTTTTTGATGTTTCTTCTATTTAAGATACGCGTATGTCATTAGCAACGTATTGGTGAAGTAATATAAAGGGATGAAATAACACCTACATTATTGATTGATGAACAAAAATGTTGTAATTCGCCATCGATATTCGCCTCATACTAATTTAGCACCAAAAGTATTCACTCAAACAAAACAGTGTCTATAAAAAACAATCCTAGTCAGTTAACAGTATTTCACCTCATTCCACTTGCATAAATCTAACAGAGTTATCTGGTTTATATTTGAAAACTGAGGTTTATTAAACTTCAGTGAATGTTGTATAAGCATTACAAATGCATAACACTACAAACAGTAGATAATATTTCGAAAGATAAAGCAAAACATTTATTAGCAGTATTTAGTAAATAAGCAATACATATACTTCGATGTGACCGGTTTTTAAAGGTGTACACCTTGTTTTTACTTAGCAATTGGTAGACATAAACGACTTTGATGCTTAATTTTTGTAAAATGAATGCGATGCTCTGGTAAAGCCATACTTTTAATGATATTTGCAAATATTAATAAATACAAGTTAATAGAATTAACGAGATGTTAGATACTTTTACTAATAGTCTAGAATCGCTTTGTCTTCCTTCAACTATTTGTAAGCTATACAGAGCAAATTTAGGAGTTCACCACCAGTAGCTTTATCAAAATGTAATTCTATAGTTCAAATTTCTGTTTGACAGAGTAAAATGATGCACCCTTACATGAAAAAAACTAAACAACATTGAGTAATTAAAGAACGAACTGAAATGATACCGGCATTTTTGTTGAAATGACTTTATCGCAGACATGTAGTCATGGTACACATGACGCTATTGCTTACTCCTGGGCATGGAAACGATATTTTCAGCTTGGACTATGAAACAGTATGAAAAAGAATAATAAGTAAACTTTACTAGAATGTTTGAAATTAAATTACAGTCATCGTGTAAATAAGTTACACAAGTCGATCAATATTTACTTGTCTGTTATTTTGTGAAATAACTTCAGAACCAACATAGATGACACCATGGTTAGAAAAACGAACTAACCCTCTATCTACTTTCAAAACTTTCATCAAGAAAAGTCTGTTGATACTCAAATGACAACAGAATTGTTTCAAAACACTGAAGAAGAATCTTAATTTTATTCACTGACTTATCAGGATTACTCAGTATAGTGGTCGAACATTTAAGCTTTTCTTCATTGCAAAGCGACAAGGTTAGACTTAATAATTTAAATGAAGTCTGTTTCTGTAGTAAATTAGTTAGATACAGTTGATAACTGGTAAGCTGAAGGATATTGACGGAGATCACTCAACAATCCAAGTAATTTTCTAACTGTACATCTTTCTGCCTGGTAACGTAATGTAAAGATTTTACTAATTTTACTGTTTTAGCTTTATAAGTGTGTAATAATTATGTACATTCACTGTTTACAGGAAAATGCCGCTCAGACTGCAGTAATGAAATATCGTAAAGCTCAACAACAGGTGGATGATGCAGATTTGCGTGCTCAGTTGGCTGAAAGACGTATCGGTCTATGTTCCCAAGAAGACAATCCAACAACATATGGGAATTATGGTAGGCAACGATCTGGAAGTCTTTATCCAACTAGAACAAGAAACTATTCTGTTACACGTGAAGGTTCAGTGTTCAGTGTTATGAGTGAAATGCCATCTCCACATAAAACTCGTTTTCAACTAGGACCTTCAAGACTTAACAATCGTTATGATACTGGAAGTCAACAAAGAGACAATGGCAGTTCACTAAGTCTACTTGATCTTCCACCTGCTGAAACAAACAGTAGTTAATTGTGTCACACTGTGTTCAATTGAAAAAAAATGCTTGACAATTTCAACTAGTTGCACTTCTTATTTTCCTTTCGTTTTCATCCTGACAAATATTTTAGCATGATTTTCGTATACCTCATTCCTTTACAAGTAAGTGCAATAAACTGATAGCATGAATAAAAAAATTATTTGAATACAGCTACTTTCATTCTTATACCATTTTGAAAGTAATATTCCTAGAAATGTATCCATTGAAACTCTTTTTGTTTATAATAGTTCATAACTTCTACCAGTTAGTAATATAACCTAACAGGTTAACAGGATTACTAATAATAAATGAAGACAAGAATGTATTGTTTAGAACTGGTTAATATTGTTGCATGTATCCGTTTAGTCTGAGTGTATATTTACATTTTTGATTTAATGAAGTGCCTTCTTTTTACCTTTTTTTTCCTTATAGTATAATGGATTTTAGTAATCATTTTAAAACCATGATAACATATACTATGGTTTATGAAATTCATTGTTTAACCCATTTCTTGATTAACAAAATATATAAATAGGTACCTTTTCTTTTGCTATAAATTCAATGAAAATGGGAGGAATTGTTCAGCAGAAGGGCCCTTTAGATTAGCTGGTTATAAGATGCAAACTAACCGTTATCAATATTTCCATTTGTATGATCTTTGCATCATTTTAAAACCGGAAATTTTTACTTTGAGGTAAAGTGCGCTTGATGTATCATTAAAAATTGGTTAGTGAGTGAAAACTATGCCAGTATCAGTAAATTCGAATATATATATATATAAATCGGATAGGCAAAATGACGCAGGCTAGTTAAAGCCTCCGGGAAGCCTGTCAGCCTATTAAAGAAAAAATAAAATCTGGGGACGTGGAATGTACGTACAATGTACGAGGCTGGGAAGGCTACGCAGGTAACCAAAGAAATCAGAAGATATGGTGTAAAAGTACTGGGAATCTGCAACAGCAGATGGAATGGATGTGGATTGATAACATTGTCAGTAGGAGAGTCAATAATCTACTCCAGTCACCCAGACGATAACCACGAACATACTGAGGCAGTGAGTGGCTATCATGAAGTCGCCAGTGGCAGCCAAAGCCCTAAAGCAGGGGGAACCAATTTCATCCAGGATAATGACAGCAAGATTCAACTCAAATGAAAACAAGGAAGGGCACAATTATTCACTGCTTCGCACAGTGCTACAAACAACGCAGAACAAGAGAAGAAGGAAGATTTCTATAGATAACTGCAAACAGTAATGGACAACATCCCAAATGGTGACATCAAAATCCTCATGGGCGATATGAATGTCAGTAGAACTGAAAGCTAACAATACAGGAAATGAACTCATGCGTCGAGAGGCTCTAGGAGAAATGAATGAGAACGGAGAACTATTTGCAGACTTCTATGCTTCCAATGATCTGGTGATTGGAGGGATCGTATACAAACACAAGAATATACACAAAGCGACATCGGTTTCACCTGACAGACATACCACAAACCAAATAGATTTCATTCAATCTCAAGGAAGTGGAGATACAGACTGCTGGAAACAAAGTTGAGAAGGGGAGTAGATGTGGGCTCAGATCATAATCTACTTCAAGGAACCTCCAAGGTGAAGCCGAAATCCTTCAGAACAACTGGAGACAGACCACAATTCAAGTTCAACATTCAAAAACTGAAGGACAAAACTACAAGGGATGCTTTCACTACAGATATCAGAGCAAAGTTGGAATCACTGAGGAAACCTGTGTGGAAGAACATTGGAACTCTTTGAAGGCAATATTCGAAGAAACGTGTACAACTGTTCTGGGAAGAAAGAAGAGACAAGACAAGGAATGGCTGTCAACGAACACCTGGAAGCTAACAGAAGAGAGTAGAGGAGGATGGTGAAAGAGGAGATGACTTAATGCAAAGATGGGTAACATAAGGAGAAGCTTAGTTCAGTAGGCATCAAGCAGTGAAGACAGGACTTCAGGTGAATACAGAGAAGAGGAAGGTGATGAAGGTAACCAACCAACAGCAACAACAATCAGCACCAATCACCATCATCAGGAGAAATTTGTCAGAGTTTACTTCCTTCACTTATCTACGCAGCATCGTTTTAACAACAAGTGACACCATGGATAGCCTGTTTTTTTGCTTGGTCTAGCAATATGTGCTCTTGAGAAATTCCTATGACTTACAATTTTTAGTTTTATCTTCTCCCGCATCTTCATCATTGTCATCACAAATCATATGAGTTTATCAAATTAAGAGGAAGTTGGATTTGTAGTACAAAATGTACACGTTTTATTTCAAGACTCTTTAACTGCGAATGGAACAGAATGTATATGAGATTATTGAAAATAATGACATGAGTTCTTGTTTTACTGAGCAGAAGCTAAGCATAAAGCTCTTGGTTTAAGGAAACAAGAATGACTGAAATACTATGATTTAATGTGAGTTTTCCTCTCAAGTTAACACATTGGGCCAGATTCTTTGTATAACACATAGAAGACAGGATATGGAATTAGATTTGCACCTTTTTCAGTGCTTATAAACTAATAAGCCAGTAATTTACTGAACATCAGTAAATTTCAAATTTAACAAAATGTTCAGTTTGATGATAGCGAAAAATGTCTGATTGTTATTTCAGTATAATTCTATACACATATATAGAAACTAAAAGTGGTAAAAAAATCGCATAGAGAGAAAGCAGTTTGAAGTAAATTATCTTGACATAACAAAAACTACAGACTGTATATATTTTATCATGAGAATAATCACACAGTGTACACATGCGTTAAAATTGAAAGTGCTTTCAAGTTCTAGTGACCACTGTCAATCAAAATATACAGTCAAAAGACATGATATATGTTTAAAACAATTAGTTCCCTTGATGAATTTAGACAAAGCAATAAGCAGACGTAATTCGTCTGAATCGTGTAATGTATTCGCGCAACACATTTCGAACAATCTGATCACACATGGACTTGTCATAGGAATATATATGTATGAAAATAATAAAGAGTTAAGGGGTGAGAAAATAAATTTAGGACTTCAGGTGAACATAGAGAAAACAGAGGTGATGAAGATTCCTGGGCAATACCACCTACAGCAACAACAACAACAGACAACAATCAGCATAAATGGAAGGAACCTGAAAGAAACAACCTCTTTTACCTACCTACCTACCTGGGAAGCATCGTTTCAACTACAGGCGGGTGGAACTGACGAGGATATCAAAGCAAGAATCCGAAAAGCAAGACAAGCTTTCACTACTCTCAAGTCTGTGTGGAGGTCAACAGCACTCAGTATGAAAGAAAATAAGACCCGGATTTTCAACTCCAATGTGAAGTCAGTGCTACTATACGGATCAGAGACTTGGCGCGTCATAAAGAGCATCTCAAACAAACTACAGACCTTCATCAGCAGCTGTCTTCGCTCAATACTACTCAAGATCAGATGGTCGGCCAGAAAAGATCAGCAACAGAGATCTCTGGGAGCGAACCAACCAGGAACCGATTGTGAAACAAATAGGCAGGAAAAAATGGAGATGGATTGGGCATACTCTTAGGAAACCATCAAGTGACATCACTAGACAAGCCCTTGAGTGGAACCCGAAAGGGAAGCGGCGAGTTGGTCGTGCAAGGGTGACTTGGAGGAGGTCATGTGAAGAGGAGATGGAAGCGTGTGGGCAGACTTGGAGCCAGGTGATGACTCTAGCAGGGAACCGAACGCAATGGAGACGCACGGCTGAAGCCCTATGTTCCTCTAGGAATTAAAGGAAACAATAATAAGAACGACAATGGAGATTCAACTGAATTTTAGATTTTCCCGTCGATTGATTTGACCGAAGTGCCCGGTCTCAGGTTGACATGTCGAATAACGCTTTGGCGTTTGAAACTATGGGCACTGGGTTCGAGCCTCGGTGGGAACATCATCACTCACTGGGAAATGCAGGCACATCCGGCTGACGAGTCCCAAATAGAACGAAATGCGCATTCTGGATTCCACTGCTAGTCACCATCCACCATTTAACAATGGAGATCATTAAATCAAATTACAGAGATAATAGTACATCTGCTATAGTATCTAAACAAAGTTTACCAAGGAAGGTTTAGTGTGACGACGAATTGCTTTTGAACGCATAAAGATGGCTTAAACTCCCTAATTGCCAGGGCTTCCACAAACTTTGAGATACGCCCAAACACGTTTTATAGATAGGTTTAAAAGTCATGTAAACGTCAATTTTATGTTCTGTCCTATAATATGCTTTGCAATAGAGGAGCTACGTCTCCTCTTGTCACCACTGATAGGTTCTGTGGATTCTATTTGCTTCTGAAGCCATTTAGGAATATGTTCTGAAGCCCTTACTTGCAGAGATCGGTGAGTCCTCCCTATGTATGTGTGGCCACACATGTATGATATATGATTGCATTTTCAAACTCCTTAAAAGTCTAAAATAATGAGTGAAGCACATCTTTAGTTTAAACACAATTCACTCAGTACAATAAATTGTTTATGATCAAACAGATCAGAAGGAAGAGTTTCTTATGATTACCACTGCATACTACAGACACCTTTTATAAATAACACTTATAGTCTTCTGTTAAAGGGTGTATTGACCTAAGTTTATAATAACATATTATACTAGGATTCTCTTCAATTTATCTGTGTTGAAGACACTGTCTAATGGCAATCCAAAGTCGATAAAATTATAAACAGATGCAATTTATGTTGTAAGGAAATGATATTCTGTTGAGCTGAGGAAAACTTAGATTGACTGTTTTAATCCCAAATTGACACACGTGGTTTATTCCGTACGTTTGAAATCAAATGATTAAGGATGATAGGTATAGAACGCTGAAGGTAATCTTGCTGCACTTAACACGATGATATAGGAACAACCAAGGATACTGACTTTAGAGTGAAAATATAAACTGTCTTCATTCAATAATATTATCATGTATATTACTAGTGAATTATTTGACAAGCAAATCGAAATTTTACATTTTAGCTTTAACCAATGTCAATCTGCAGGACTATTTTTACTTCGATATGATTTTATATGAACTAAACTTTTAAATCAACAGTAAAAATGTTTGATGATACATTTAAACTGTGTGTAAAGCACAACGATTTTAAAGATGTTGTTAAAAAGCATCTCCAATTTATGGTATGTTAAGAAAGGAAGTTTATTGCGTAACATTTTAATATGTGGACAGATTTCAACGTTTAAACACCGGTTTCCATAATAATAATAACAACACCAAAAAGAGTTCATTGCAGCATATAAAACAGATATCACTTCCGAAAGTTAAAGCGATCTCCATTTTATTCAAACTATTAAAGTTTGAAATCTTCAGGATACACTGTACATTAGAAATCAAATTTAGATTCTTGTAGGATATCCATTTTCAATTTTGCAATGGAAATTGTTAAACAAAATCTACTTCGGTACAAGTCCTTTAGATTGAGGGAAAATTTGGCTGGCGTCCTCCCGGGGGATAACACGTGTCCTGTTAATGGGATATGAAAATTTCTTCAAAATTATTACTCCTTTTTA